TCCTGCTGTGTCAGAAGTTGTTTTAGGGACTGACAATTAGTGCAAAGATGAATAGAGCAAATTGAGTTCCTGTTCCACTGGAACAAGTTCCTAGTGGGAGTCAGACTTGCCAGTAACATAATGGTAGCCCTGCTATATACCATATATACCATAAGGCACAAAGTTGCTACCCGTCCCAGGAAAGGAAGCATGGGCTACCTGTAGGGAATAGTGATTCCCTGGAAAAGCTTGGCTGAGTAGGATTGCTCCTTAGAAACAATGGGAAGGGACCTCTGGGAAAAGTTTCACAGGTTGTTGTCCACTTGTGATCCCAAATGCTGGAAGTTGCTACCCTCTATGGAATTTGGAATTTATCCTGAAAAAAAAGGAACTGTGAAAGCTTTGTGTCATCTTGACTTCCTAACTAGAGGATAAATTCCTTAAAGGCAGGGTGTGTCGTTCATTTTTGTATTCTTTATAATGCCTGATGTTGATCCCAGAATGGGCAGGACAGCCAGGAAGTGTTAATGGATCTCTTAAGGCTGTGTGATAGTCTCTTATAGTCTTACATTCTTGAATGAGTCACAGCTGAGATGTTTTGGAATGAAGGGGCGAGAGTCTTATTACATCCCGGACGTTGTGCCTAGGCACTCCCTAGATTAAATTATTGCCTAATTTGATCTGTCATACTTGCTCAGAATTCACCAGTGACTTTTGATTATTGCTCTGAGGATAAAAACCAAAGTTCAGAGTGGCTTTCACAGCCTCCATTCACTGTCTCCATTGTTTTTTTACCTCCTTAATTCCTGTTCATCTATAAACTGTCACTTTACCTTGCTGGGAAAGCCTTCATGGTCCCATCTTTCCCACAACAAGAAGGCTTTCAAAATCTTACCATGTGATCATCCTGTGATTGTGTGATTTCTCTTCTGCCCTCCTGAGAAGATGATAGATTTTTGTCTGTCCTGTGCCTACATAATAATGCCTGGCATTTAGTTGGATATTCAATAAACAACTAACAACAACAACAACAACAACAACAAAATTTTGGTTGCAGGAATAAATCATTGAGAAAACTAACAGGAATATATTACTGTTTTGTCTTCAGATGAAGAAATTAAAGTTCAGAGGTTAAATCACTTGTACAAGGTTGCATAAACAATAAGGGCAAGGCCTAGAACCCAGGGATGTCTGCCAACAAAACCTCCTTCTTTCACTCACAGACACAGAGCACATGGAGACTTTTCATGTCTGCATCAGTGACGTGATCCTGCGTATCTGCTGGTTGGTTGACAGAATGAACAGTGTGGTGATTAAGAACACAGGCTCTGTAACCGGACAGCCTGGACTCCTCTACCTTTTCCACTATCTGCTGGCTTTGGTGCCTTGCACACACTGCTCAATTTATGAAAAATGGGATAATATTATCCACTTTAGAATTGATATGAGGACCAAAATATATCAGTCTACATAAAACATTACTATTAAGCAAATAGAAACTGCTCAAAAATTGTTAGCTATTATATATTATTAGTCTGTATTTATTCCTTTTTTTTTTTTTTTTTTTTGGGTGGTGCTGAGTATCAAAACAAGGGCCTTGCACATGCTAGGCAAGCATTCTACCACTGAGCCATACCTCCAGCCCTGTGTTTCTTACAGTTTCCTTACTATAACCCAAAATTACATCCAGAGACCCTATACCAATTTTTAACATTTTGTTTTACTTTTTGAAAATTTTCTTTTTGCCTGAAGCCATCTGCCCTTAAGTTGTATTTTATCTGTGCTCAATTTAAAATCGGTAATTTCTGTGTCTCAGCAGAAGTTGTCTACCTCTAACAGCAATGTCAAGTACTATTAATACCCTTTGCTGTGAATTTCTAGGTTCACACTTTTCTTCACACGTCTGCTCAGTTAGCAAAAACTGTTATCGTGTAGTAAAAGATGCACTATTAATTGTGCTGTTCTCTTCTCACAAATCGCACACCTTTTTCCCCCAAACTAAGCAATATATAATTGAGCCATTTGATTAACTGACCGATTGTTGGGAAGTGATTTGTTACTCTTATTTCCCCCATTCTTCAATAGATGAGAGCAGGTGTGACTTGTAGGAAATTTAAAAAGGAAGAAAGGCAAGAAAATAATCACTTCAGATCTATAACAGTTGCATGCCAAAATTTTAACATTTTAAACATGTTCCCTCATCATGGAATTTTCTGTAAAAACCCTTCATTCCTTTCCTGGTTATTCATTGTTGAAATTCTTAATAGCTAGTTTCTTGTGGTTAGGATGTAATCGTGTGTGTGTGTGTGTGTGTGTGTGTGTGTGTGTGTGTGTTTTAACTGTTTACCTTGCTCTTAAAAGAAAATAGCAACTTATTTGCGTTTACATGACAAGAGAAATATCTACAGTACAGTTTCCGCCCCGTGCCAGGCATTACTACATGTTTAGTTGATGTTGCTAATCTTTGTAAGAGAAATAATATGCCCATCCCGGAGAGGAGGAAATAGAGACTTTACAAGACTGAAAACTTCCCTGGGGAAGTTGGCATGCCTTAGCTCTGGAGGTGGAGGTGTTAATGAGATCTGGTGTACAGGGATAACTAGAAACAAGCCTGGCAAAGCAAGTTGGGTTATAAATGGAAGACCTCAAGAGTCAGGCTGAGGAATGGATAATTAGTTTTTCAGGTCCTGTGGAAGTAATGAAGTTTTTTGAACTGGGAGCTTGAAACAGCACCGGTGCTCTGTTGACAGGGCAGTGATTCTAAAGTGTGGTCTCCAGACCCAGCAGCATCAGAAACACCTGGAAACTGAATAGTAACGTGTATGTACGTGGCTTCTCCCACCTGTTCAATCCTAGACACTCTGCTTGTTGGTGGTTTAAGAAGCACTCCTGGTGATTCGGACGTGCATTCAAGTTTGAGAACCACTACGTTAAGAGAATTCTAGCAGTGCTGAGTAAAGATTGGAAAGGCAAGGAGGAGCAGTRGGAGGCCATGCCAGAAGCCAAGGGAGAGGTTATTAGGGCATAAGTAAGTTCGGGTGACTTCACTGGGAATGAAACAGAGGGAAATAATAAGATTTTTCAAGGAAGATGTAATAGGACTTGATGACTAAATGGTGGTAGGAGTATAAGATATGAAGCCAATATTCTGTGTCTGCATGTCCACATTGTGGGAGAGCTGCAGATAAACACAGAAGCCTCTTGGGGTGGGAACTTGTTCATACTCCTCAGGAACTGAGACCTTACTGTGCCTTAATTCATAGCTTTTAAGTTTTACCCACACCCACCAATTTACTACGCTTGACTAGATAACTTTCCCTATCAGAATGAAAAATTACCAGCTGCTCAACATTGACTGTAGACTGAGCTCTTAGGAATTGCTAAGAACTTTTCTCTGCATGGTTTATATTCGTTATCCTATTGTATTTCATTAGTTATTAATATCAGTAAATTGCCCTCCTTTACTATCCAGTCTAAGCTACACACTACTATAGTTAATGTTTCAAAACTCTGAACTGAGGAGCTAAGAGTCTAGACTCTGCAGTTAGACAGCTTGAAATCCAGCACCATCATTTAGCAGGTATGTAGTCTTGAGCCAGTGACTTATTCTTCAGCCTTAATTTTACCCAGCTCTTTTACAATGGGATTATTATCACCGTGTGGATGTATAATAGAGAATGGACCTCTTAGGGCCATTGTGAGAACTAAATGAGAAAATGTCCCACATGAAATGCTTAGGGAATGTTCATTGTGGTTTATGGTGATGACAATGTCACACTCTTCCCCAAAACGTCATTGGCTCATCTTGTTCAAGAGAATGAACTCTGTATTCCAGCACATTAAGGCTCTCTACAAACTGGTCACACTCCATCTCTCAGACCTATTATCTGATAGGKTTTTTTGTTTGTTTGGTTGGTTTTGGTACTGGGGATTGAACCCAGGGGCGCTTAACCACTGAGCCACATTCCCCAATCCCTTTTTATATTTTATTTAGAGACAGGGTCTTACTGAGTTGCTTAGGGCCTCACTAAATTGCTGAGGCTGCCTTTGAACTCGCAATCCTCCTGCTTCAGCCTATAGAGTCGCTGGGATTACAGCATGCACCAACATGCCTAGCTTATCTGATGGTCCTTTGCGTAACCCAGTGCTTCAACTAATCTGGCCATGGTGCCTCTAATGTACCAAGTTTGTTACAACAGCATGGCCTTTTTCCTGTGGCTTTGTTAGTATTTTGTCACTGTAACAAGAATACCTGAGATTATTAACTTATAAAAAGAAAAGGTTCATTTTGGCTCACAGGTTTTGAGGCTACAGTTCATGATCTACTGGCTCCATTGTTTTGGGCCTGTGATAAGACAGCACTTCATTGCAGGAATGTGTGGCTGAGCAGAATCACTCACCTCAGGGCCAGGAAGCAAAAGAGAAAAAGAGGCAGAGACTGGATCCCATCATCCCTTGTGGGGACATACTCCCAGTGACCTAAGGGCTTCCCATTAGGTCCTCTCCCAAGGTTCCATCCCATCCCCATAACACCACCCTGGGGACCAAAGCTTTAGACGCGCACCTTTGGGGCACATTTCACATTCATAGTAGAGCAGTTGCTCCCCCACATCATGTCTGGGCCCTCCAGGGCACAGCCAGTCAGTGTTTGTAGTTGACCCCAGAAACCCCRGATTTATTATGATTAATCCCAAACTCCTTCACTTGATGGCCTTCACTGCTCAGTGGACCCTACAGAGCTATTGGCATTAGCTCAGGATGATTCTGCCAAAGTGGGGYCCACTTCTCTTCAGTACTTCTGAGGCTGTGCTTCATCCATCCTGTTGTGCACAAAGCCTGGCCCGGGGCCAGGACGTGCTCTCTCAACAGTAGTGACACACACCTTGATAACAGCTTTGATCTTTTCCAGACTCGTTTAAATATGTGTTCGTGTTTTCTTCCTTTCTCCAATGATATTGATAATGTTCCCTATAGGAGTCACATTTAATCTATGACATACTAATTATTTTCTTTCTTCTTAGGATGAACTTGACCTCACAGACAAACACAGGGAAGCCATGTTTGCACTTCCAGCTGAGAAAAAGTGGCAAATATACTGTAGCAAGAAAAAGGTAAGGTATTCATTGTGATTCTCATTTTTGATTCCCTTTGCTCTCCCATTTGCCCCACCTGAACTCAGCCCTTTGTAATGTGAATGTGTGGTTAACGTGTCATGTTGTGGCCTTGGTGCCATATGTGGCCACGTGCCAACTCCTTGGATGTTGTTTTTGTCAACACTGCATTGTGCTCCCTGACCCCATAATTGTGTTTGACTGCTACCCCAAATAACACTGGCTTATAGGAGAAATAAGCGTCCCCTGCTCTTTCCACAATAGTTTGTACAGGTAGGTCAGGGTGAGCTTCGTGGATCCACAGCCCTCTGTGACCACCTTCTAGCAACTTTACATTTCACTGTCTCTAAGGTGCAGCTTGACGTGGCTCCCCAGTCATTTCATAGTCCAAACCAAGAATACAGAAAAGAGACAGAGAGGGCACAAATTCCCCCATGCCGTCTTTTAGAAACATGTTTTAGGAGTTATATACCTTCTATCCTCTTACATATCTGTATCTCGCTGCAGACAAACAAAGTCTTTATTCTGGGCAGTCACTTCCCACTTAAAAGCTGGGGCTTCTGTTACCTCAGGCGATGGGAGAATGGTCCTGGGAGCAGTGAAAATACTCTTATTCCCTAGGACTTAGAGAACTAGGCATCACTCAACACACTGCATCTCCTGAAATAAAGTTCCTCTGCCATCTCCCTAACCCTGTGGCAGATTCTTAAGACTGTCCCCATGTCCATTTTTTTGGACTGATTCAAAGGTTCATGGCCTCGTTTTGCCACTTTTTTCTTTGTTCCAACAGAGTCTTGAACCAAGATGGGTAAGTGGGAAGGGCAGAACTAGCACCTAAAAGAAATGCTGTCTCCAACAGGCAGGGAGCACTCAGATCATTCAGTCTTGACCTAGAAAAGAGCATCAATAACAGTCCARTATCTTTTTGAGAACAGAGTGAGCCAGGGAAACTGTCTCTTAGGTAACTAGCATGCAGTTAGGGACCCCCACTTGCCCACACAGCTGTCTCCCAGCACCTTTGCCCCCTTGGCTGCCTTGTGTCACGTGTGTGCCACCCTCCCAGGGGCAGCTCCCAGGACTCAGTAAGGGCTTTCTCTAGCRCTGAGCTTGCACACTTGTCCCTCCCACCTGACTCCAGGCCACAGGTTGTAAGGCACCTTGTCTTTCTCATCTGTAACTTCAGCATCTGGGCCTTTGAAATGAATTCACGAAAACTGGCCCACTGAATTGTGTTGTGTAAATAAAAATACTGAATACTGTTAATAAAAAAATGAAAGCATGTTTCATTTCCTCTCTGAGCARTGTAATTGGTCAAACTATGCATCCCATTTGGTTCTGATAACCTTTGCCAGGAAATGTGTCCAGCTGTAGCTTCTCAGTATGATTGCTGAGCTGCTGTCACATCAGCCCAAATCAAAGTCTTCAGGGTCCTGATCCAGTAGTAACCAGTAAGACATCTTTGTCAATCAGTGTATCATTGTCCTCTCCTTTTCTTCTCTCTTTAGACTTATAGCCAACTGGAAAACTTCTCTTTTGTTGAATGGATTGTCATGCATAACATATAGATAAAGATTATATGTAGGATGTACATTTTATATGCATATATGCAAAATACACATATATGATATATACCACAAATATTATATATGTATAATATATATTATGTTGTGCATATATTATATATGCATCATACATATATAATATATATGTGATATATATTATATATGTATGATTAGTATATATATATRTRTRTGKGKGTGTRTATATATATATATTGCATATATATGTTATACAGGGAAGGGAGGAGGTTTGTTTTTGTTTTCGAGCCAGGGGTCCCCTAAGTTATCTAGGCTGGCCTTGAACTTTCGAATTGCCCTGCCTCAGCTTCCTGAGTAGCTAGGTTTCAGACATGCATCACCATGCCCCTCTTGATAAGGAATTGTAAAATGAAAATAAAATGTGTTCAGCTCTCACACTGAGAGTATTGTGTGGTCTTTGGGAGCAAGGGTCCTTTTCACTCTGCCACCTTAAAGGCCTGTCACTAGGACTGAGAAAGAAAAATCCTCCTGTGCCTCTGTACACAGAGGGCATTGTCTGTTTGGTTCCTCTAGTGCAGATTTTTTTTTCCGCAGGATGAGCAAACAATACAAAGTAGCGACTAAGAATATTCACTGGCCAAAAGGAAAGGGTAAGAAAATGGGAGCAGCTTACTGAGGTGAAAGTTTTCTTCTTTCCCAGATTTTATGACACCCTTGACAGCAATTGAAAGTTAATCATGGAAACTGCTGCCYCTTACATTAGTGAAGGCAAGCCCTGGAGGTTAGTAATGACCTCGGGCTCACAGCTGCTGCTCATTTTTCAATTTTCAGGTCTATCAGAGCCCCTTGCAAGCTTCATCTCAAGTGTGCATGATGGGGTTGGCTGTTTGCAGGAGGATGGAGATGGATGTGGACTYTGGCCTCAGAATCCTGTTTCTGATGCCTGCACCTGTACCTGTCTGGCTCACATGATCTTGGGGGATGCCCTTGTGCTAGCTTCATTCCAGCACCCTAGGTTCCTGGTGTGGCTTGGTAAGGGCATGGCTGAGAGGGAAACCATTGTAACTCCTTAAGAAATCCCATGGTCTTATAGATTTCTGTCTCACTTTAAAATGAATGATAGCATGGCTTGACTAAAGATTCTCATGGTTAGAACTCCTCAGGCTATTTAAACAATACTATGCCTGTGGTCCCAAACTGAACTTCTTAGACGCTGTGATAAATAAATACATCATGAATACAAGGACACAAATATTTCACTAGATACAGTATATGATGTTTGCCTCTTCAGATAATAGGTGTCCAGAGAGACAGATTGTCCATTCTCAGAAGGAAGCACCATTGTGTCCGTCTTCGATAGTAAGAAGAGATTCTTTTCCTTGGAACATCTCTTGTGTAGCTTTTTCAGGTCAGGCCTATTACCAGCAGGCCATACCGCATCCATTTTTTCAGGCTGAGGCAAGCTACACCCATGGCTTCTTTGGATTTTCTGTCTTTTGTGATTAGAACCCAGGGCATTCCAGACATTCTCCCACAGAGTGAAGCCATAGAGCAGGGATCACTGAAGCCCACAGAYGGGCCACAGGAGCTGGTGGAAAGCAGGCTCTCTGTGTGAGTGAACAGAAGTCCTGGAAGCAGACAAGACTGGGACCTGAGCACAGGGCCAGCCCTCTGTCAGCCGAAGGCCTCTTTTCCATCAAACGGTGACTGGAGTCCCAGGAGTGGCTCTCTGCTTATCAACTCTGTGTTCGTTTATGAAACTTCTCTAAACTTCTCTGGTTGGAAACTAATTTCCAGAGCCAAAATGAAAGCAGCAAAAGTATTTCTGGAGCTAAAATGATTGGAAAGAAATTAATTGGAATTTTGCCTAATTGAGTAATCTGGGGGAGAGTCAGAGATGGATGTTGTGGCCTTCTTGAAAGTCCAAACAAATCTCCAACAGTTACTGGACTGGTCGGTYGGTCCTGGTTTGTCATAGACAGCAATCCATTGTCAAATTTTTAAACTCTCATGAAAGGTCCCAAAAGGTCCCCTTAGTGGGATGGGGCGTGTTTTCAAATAGGAAATGTTTGTGGTTCTTATCTTTAAAGGTAATTCCCTTTTTAGTTCCAATCACAACATACTCTTTTGTTTAAATGAGGTTTTTCCCAGTCTGAAGCCAGAAACTGCATCTGTTAACAATCTTTTGGATTTTAAACTGAAGCTTTTTAAACAATGAGCCATCTGACCACGAAAGGCATCTGGCTATGCTTTATTTGCTTATTGTTAACATGATTTTTAAATCCTGGGAAAAGTAAGGAGTAGGTCTTCAGAGAGGTGAAAATAAACTGGTGTACACACTGTATTGTGCTGACAGYACTCTTATCGGCACAAGAAGGAATCTTCTTTCATTGCTGTTCTTCTCAGGATCAAGTGTACTAGTTGTGTCATTTAACCAGTCCCTAAAAGTATCCAGAAAATGCTTTTTACCCCTTCTCAGGCCTCAGAGTTTGCAAGGAAATAAATCGAGATTCAGACACCTAGTTTAACCACATCAGGTTCTTGAGGCCAAGATCACGACTGGGAAAAGTTGCCTAATTTTCCTCCACTATTTCTGGCTCTAAAGCCAAGGCTTAAGTAAACAGTATTAGCTTCTTTATACTACATTTCTGTGTTTGGAGGACCACTTTGGTGAAGGTGAATTTCCACTCTCTTGCTGAGTGTATGTTTGATTCTAGCTTAATTAAACCATTCAAGATTCTTGCCTATCCTGGCTGCCATTCAGCTGTGGGTTTTCTGCAAACTGCTGAAGTAGTGCTAGGTACATTCTGAAAACATTTAGGGAAAATGGCTTTGGTTGTGTATCCTAAAGGGAAAACACTCCTCCCCATAGAAACAAGTTCTCCTTTCACAACAGGCACACAAACATGAAAGTTGTCATGAGTGCGGKCAAGCAGGACGCAGTTCTTTCAGGTCCTCAGGAGTTGGGGGCACCTACTTARAGTACAGGGAGCAAGTTTTTTTGATCAAAACATGACTTAAAGGAATATATATATGTAGTGGAATTAAAGACAAAAGGAATCATCATTTTTCTACATGACAATCAAATCAGCTGAAAAACAAGGAGATGAAATGAGACATTAGTCCTCTGGTTGTTCCTAGTCCCTACTGAGAAGCTGCCATGGGTGGACGAGGAACAGAAGCAATGGCTTTGCCCTTTTTTTTGGGGGGGGGGGCGGGTAGGTAGAGCTGAGGATCAGACCCAGGGCCCTGTGCAGCTAAGCAAGCACTGTGCCACTGAGCTATACCCCCAGCCCTATTTCTAGACTTCTCTAGAAGCCCTATTTCTAGACTTCTATTTCTTGTGTTCTGCCATGAAGTTTCAACCTATTAATGGATTCCAATTGGCATTTGAGAGATAAAGGCTTAAAGAAAGCTACAGAAGCAGTCATGATTAGAAATGAAATTTGCCCCTGGGCTCAA